TGTATACAAAGGATCTTTCTTTGGAGTGACTTTGCGTCTCTTACCGCAGCTCATAAAGGTCTAGTCCCTGTACCTGTCCAGCTAGGAGTGCCCTTGGAAGTGTCCCTTAGCCCTGTGCAGTACAAGCCCCCTGTCACCTCTGAAGACTTTCCATGAACACTCCACCAGCTCAGCCTCTCTTCTTTAAGGGAACTCACAGGTGGGTGCTCCTGCTTGTCAGGTAAGCCCTCCTCCCTACTGTACCATGTCCCCAGCTCTGAGGAGGTTAGGGAACGAAGACACTATTTAGGCTGTTACCTGAAGAAAAAGCAGCTAGTACTCAGGAACAGGATAGCAAGCTGCTAAGTTAAATGTGTGTCTTGTGTGTTCGGGAAGAAGCAAGAAAGCTGTAGGGTTGGAGGCCGAACAGTAAGGTGAAGCCTCATGGGGGCTTTGGGTGCCACTCGGCTTGTGAAGGGAAGTCATGACGAGGCACTCCCCCAAAGTCTAGGTCTTGAACCAGCGGGGGACTTAGATAATAACTAAATGAGAGTGTAAATTATAAAGCAAACAGGAAAGGTTGTAATGGAAAATATGGGTGTTAGCTTCCTGCCACCATAAAGAATACCTGAGACAATGAACTTATCTAGAGAAAAGATTGTTTTGGCTTGCAGCCTTGAAAGTTCCAGTCTGTAATGCTTGACCCTGCTTTTTTGGCATGTGGAGGAAAAAAAAAAAAAAAAACTCTACTTACTGATAGCCAAGAACGGGGAGTTTACCTTCACGGGACCCTCCAGTGATGAAGAGACCACGTCACTAGGCCTTGCCTGCTGCAGGTCTCCCTTTCTCCTCCCGTGGTGTCACTCTTGGGCTGAGCCTTTAACACGTGGATCATGAGACACATTCAAAACCCAGACTCCAGCAGCAGGAGCTCACCATGCACGGCATTAACAGTGTAGGAGTCGTCTAAGCGAGAAATCAGGAGGATGGATCTTAGTGTGCGCCTAGCCGTGCCTTCTCCCTCTCCTGGGAGCTGGAAGGAAGGTCTGGTGTGAGGACCAGACGGTAGCAGTTACATCCCCTGTCCCTTGGTGGTTTGCTGTGGATTTTCTAAGATGTTATATATTCATCTTCAGACTCTGTATAAAGTAAAGTTGCTCAAGCAAGAAGAAAATATATCGTAAAGAGACATCTATAACGTCATTTTCGTGTTGAATCCCCGTCTTTTTCTCCAGAGAGTAAGGAATCGGTGACTGCCTCCACCCCATGTATAGTGAATTAATATCGCAAGTCAAAGTGGTTCTTTATTTTTAATTTTAATTGAGCTGTACATTTTCTCCAGTCCACTTCCTTCCCCCCTTCTCTCTTTCCACTCTTTGCCCCTGCCCCCGACACTCCCAATTTACTCAGGGATCTTGTCTCTTTTCTTCCTTTCTAGGTGGATCCATGTATGTCTCTCTTAGAATCTTCTTTGTTGTCTAGGTTCTCTGGAGTTATGGATTGTAGGCTGGTTTTTCTTTGCTTTATGTCTTAAAGCCACTTATGAGTGAGTACATATTTTATTTGTCTTTCTGGGTATGGATAACCTCACTCAGTATGTTGTTTTTTTTTTCTAGTTCCGTACATTTGCTGCAAATTTCAAGATGTGTATGAATGAACCACATTTTCCTTATCCATTCTTCGGTTGAGGGTCATCTAGGTTCTTATTGGCTATATCATGGGACTAGGGAGAGAACAAGCATGAAGCTTTATGTTCAGTCTCCAGCACTCACGTAAAGAGCATGGTGCACTGGAGCCATCTGTACCTCTGATATTAGCAACTTCACAGGTGGATCCCATGGAGTTAGTTCATTGGCAGCCCCGCCTAGCTGAATGGGTAGGCTTCAGGTTCCTTGGATGGTCCTGTCTCAGGAAACAAGAAGGAAGGAAGATGCCTGGTGTCTGTCTTGTCTCACCATGCTCATCTACACTCAACCACATCCATTGAAATGTGTATAACACACACACACTCAGATGATCATAAATACCTGATTTTAGTCCTAAAATCACCCAGAAGCCTTTAAAACATCCTGTTCTGAGAACTCCATGTATTGCTTTGAATTGATTTCCCCTCTTCTTTTTTTGTTACCTGGCTGTCTTTGTATAGCCACCCTTTTTGAACTTACAAATTTATTTGTTTAAAATTTGATTACTGACAAGGATTAAGTGTTCTACCTGCTGAACTATGTGATTCTTAGCCAAGGTTTGGTAAGAGGTTATATTGTAGTAAGATCTGAAGGGGAAGAAAAGAATAAAAACAGAAACGTGGGCCATTGTTGGTTCTGCCAAATTGGTTTAAGAAGTCAAGACATTTGGTAGTGTTTTGTGCAAAGTTTTTGACTGTTTTTTTTTCCTTTAAAACTTTTGAAGATTTTTCTATTTCATGTGTCTGAGTGTGTTGTGTGCACGTGTGTTTGTGTACCACAGGCATGTTTGGTTCTCATGAAGGTCAGAAGGGTGTGTCCTGATCCCCTGGAACTGGAGTTCCCAGTGCTGGGAACCAAACCAGCGTCCTTTGCACAAACAACAAAATCTCTTAACCGCTGAGCCATCTCTCCAGCCCCTGCAAGAGTTGCTTCTCGATTTTGAGCTGAAACATTTTACTCTGAACTTCTGAGAATAGTCTTTTACCCAGAATGGGATGCACACAGTGTTTCTTTGTAACTTTTAGATGAAAGACAGTGTGTCAATGCCAAATGGCCACGGAGGCTGCCATGTTGTTTTAAACTCCTAAAAAGTTTTTCTTTCCAGTTTTTTTTTTTTTTTTTTTTTTTTTTTTTTTTTAGTAGATGTGAGCCCTCTTTCCATTCTTTGCTGCATGGAAGCTATTACAGCCTCTTTCAGCAAGCCTGGGAGGAGATAAGTATTACAGAGTTTCATTTATCTTTTTATTTTTCTTAGGAGCTTACATTTTAAATCCTGTGTAGGCTTACATCAGATTCAAGAGTTAGAATGCCAGGTTTGGACCATTGTTTTAAACGTCCCCCACTTGATGCTTTTGGTGCTGTGAGACTATCCATTATGTGTCGTTGTATGGCTTTCGTTCATCGTGACTGATGCCCTTGACTTCGGAGTATAAGTAGAAAGATAGAGACAGGTGGCAAGGATTGATTAACAATCTTTCTTCTAACAGAAACAATAAACTCACAAGATAAATCGCTAGCTCAAAAGCCTGAAAAATACATGCTGAAAGAAGTGTACCTGTGTGTGTATATGCACATGCATATGTGTGTTTATGAGTATGTATGTGTATAATAGTGATTGTGTTTTTCTAGAAGCACTTAAAGATTCTATCTGGTCTTTCTTTACTACCTATGAATAGGCTTCCGGCTTATGCACTGAAAAAATAAATGGTTTCTTTCCATCTCTTCAAGTAGATTTTTCAAGTAAAAAGAAATAGGCCAATATTATTGACAATAGATAAACAATATGCATATCATAATTGCTACAGAAACATTTACCTTTTCCTGCCTTTCTGGTTCCAGAAATCAGTCAGGCTGGGGATTTTAGTACAAATCAAGGCCACAAAGAAAGAGAGCAGCAGTCACAAGTAAAGGAATCTATCCATGACAGAGCGGGCAGAAAAGCCGGCAATTCCTTCCTCAGCAGGGGGTCATGGCAGAAGGAAAAGGATGGGAATTTCTGGGTTCCTGACAACGTTGGCAGTAACTGTTTGTATGGAGACAGTTCTTGTGTTGTGTGTAGACAGTTATTGACCAAAGCGGATGGAATTGTATATAGCCCAGGGGTGCTTGGGTCTGATCAAAGAATGGAGCAATGGAATTGGCTTAGCTTGCCGGAGAATGAGATCATAGTTGACATAACGCTGGACAAACAGGACTTGGAGGGTACATCTGCAATTGAGCTTATCCTTTTCTCAGCCCTCACTGCCTGCTCAAACCACTCTGCAGCTGAGCCTTCTTTTCCCAGACAACGTCTGAGACACATTTGTTGGTTTCTAAGGCTTTTTTGGGGGGGAATTTAAACAAAATCAAATAGCCCTGAACTTTTCAATGGCTTATACCTCTATACACATGGCATTAGTTTGTTGGTTGCATTGTCTGATCTAGTCTAGTCTAATGTATCATATCTCATTCATTCCTAGGTGAAGTCTTTCTCACTTGCAGTTTCTGCTTGCTACAAATATCTGTTCACCAGTGTAGTAAGAGCCGTGGAGCGCCAATCCCCCCACGAGTCTGCCTTCCCCATACTCTCTAAACACCTCTGGCTTCTTCGTCGTGGATGAAAAGCAGAGGGCAGAGAAGGCAGGAGGACCTTCAGAACGAACGTGGGTTTGCTCTCATGGATAGTGAACCCGACTTTCTTTGTGGGCACCTTCATGAGGTCTCTGGAGAGCTAGCTCCCCATCCTCTTTCACTGTGTCCCTTTTCCGTGCTGGCTCCAACACGGAAGTGGAAAGAGAGTCTCCTCTTAGCGCAGTCACAGTGGTGTGCCGCTCTCCGTGGCGGTTGCTTTGGCTGAGATTTGGGGCGCACCGACTTTGCAGATGAGGGGTACCAACAGGGAAATGCTCCTCTGCTAATTACCAGGGAAGCGATCATAGGGAATGTGTGCGAAGGTACAAATGCTGTGTGGACTGCGGCTGAAGTCTTGGAAGTGGACACAGTTGCCTGGGAATGCTGAGCCTTCCGGACGTAGTTAAGAGGCACCAGAGGGAAAGGGTGCTGGCTGCAGGACATATCAGCGTTTGCTAGGGGGCCCTCCCGGAGTTGGGCCCCACAGTGTGTGTATAACTTGTGCATTTGCTTGGTCAGAATCCGGATCTTTGAACATATCTCGCTGCCTACCCTCTACTTCAGGTATGTCAGGTAAGGTAAAAATATGAAGTCTGACATATTCAGACTTCATATTTTTACCTTAATTGGATGTGGGGCCCTTTACTGGTTGATGTTTTTAAAATTGCTGTGAGTTTTCCTCTGTACCTTTTAGTTCTCTGACAAATTTAACTCTTCTTTTTCCAGTTGTATACGAACACAGATCAAGACTAGAGAAATCTTTGCAAAAGGAGAGGCTTGAGCACAAGAAAGCAAAGGAAGGTAAGCCCGAGCTTGTGGTCTTTGGCTTCCTCTTACTCTTCTTTGATGTATCATTACTTGACCTGTGATGCTTTTTGCTTTTGTATTTATTATTATTATTATTATTATTATTATTATTATTATTTTTTTTTTTTTTTTTTTTTTGCTAAGTCGCTTCTAAAATGAGCCCAAAGCCAGGGCTATAGGTGGGCAGAGAAAGAGCTGTCAATGCTTGGCATGATGCCGACATTTTATACAGGCTCAGCGATGGGGAAGTAGCCTTTCCTTCTCCTTTGGGAACTCAGGTCAGATAGTGAGTGGATGTGTGAGCTTTATCATCAGGTTGTGACTCAGAGGTCTCCACTTCCTCCTGTCCCGCAGAGAAGCCTGTGCATTACAGGCTCAAGAACAGATTTAGCTTTCATTCTGCTTCTGCAGCCTTCATGACGGTCGTACATCGGCACCCAAATTATTTCCAAAATAATACATGAGTTCCCTTCTGTAGAATATAGCTGTATTTCAAATGCAGCAAACCTCTGTCCACAGTTGGGGTTTGGGAAGACATGCATGGTTTAGAACATGCCACTTTTCATAAGCCCCGTCTTACATATCTGTAGTGTGTGAGTTGAAACACTACCTGGAATCTTTTGAATGAAGTCGCTGTTATTACTATTTCATGAAAAGTTTCTCAGTCAGAAATGAGCAGGTGACCCTGGCAGTGCTGCTGACTGTCATCAGGGCTTCTTAGGAAGGCATGCACTCCAGCGTCTAGCTGCCGGAAGCTGTCTGCATTCTTATTTTTTATTTATTCACATTTTGTGATGAATCTTGGAATTTGAGCTCTTGTCTCCCTTGGTGGAGTAGAAGGTTAGGTTTAGTGATGGGTGCTGGATTTTGTGCAATAAATACTCTCTTGGGTTGAACAGACTTGAGAATTCTGAGAAACTCTTGAAGACTTATCTTTACGGAGTGATTTTATGGTGCCATCTAGTGGATAATAAAGTTTTCAGAGCATGGAAGGTGGCTTGTCTTTTTTCAGCCCCTGAAGGGAGTAGTGTGCCCTTTGGTGGATAGCAATAAATCACCCTGTCTCCAAATGCACCCCCTGCCTCTCAGTTTCGAGGGAAGCTTTTCAGAGATATTGTAAGTGCGCCATTAGCCACTTGATTAAAATACGGATTCTGGGGACGCAGGATTTACAGATAGAAGGGGACGCGGAAGACAGCACGCTTTGTCATCTGTTTTCCAAAGCTTTGAGAAGCAAGATGAAATACATAAATCACCAAATAGACTGATTCGAACTGAAAAGGTTTTTGCAAGTCTGAGTAAAGTGCAGCTTTTTTCTCTGGGATGTCGAAAAGTTTTAAAATGGATTGACTTACCACTTTCTCTCTCTGCATTTTTTTATCTTTGCTAGATTTCCTTGTCTATAAGTTAGAAGCACAAGAAACACTGAACAAAGGAAGGGTAAGGCTTTTGCTCTGTTGTGGTGTTTAATTTGTTTTCATGAACCTTGAGAGGGACAAAAATATTACTGTGAAAAACTGTACTCTTATCGGTCACTGGCATTGTATGTTGGACATGCATTTCTGTTAAAAAAAAAAAATTCCAAGAGGAAAACATGAAGCATTGTTCATTTAAAACTTACCTTGCCCTGCATCTGGACACACTGATGGTGATTAGCGATGAACTGAGATCTCCTCGCCGTGCTAATATGAAGTGAAGACTTTGGTTGCTTGGCTTTGAGATGGGTCCTGTCATCCTAAGAAGCCCTCGAATCATTGTGTAGCAAAGAATGGCTTTGGCCTCCTGCCCCTCATCCCCATGCTGCCTTAGTGCTAGAATGGCCAGCGTGTGCTACTGTGTGTGGCCAGCAGGGAGGTCAGTTTTTTATTCGCCCCTTTATTTGTTCGTGGTGTCTCTTTCCTATGACATGTAAGACTTCTGTTTGCCTTATTCAAATGCTATCAAACAGGAGATCTGCCATAGAGCTGGAACTTGCAAGTATCTGAAGAATGAATTATGGACAGAATGAGTGATGTTGACATCTAAAAATATTTTAACATTAAAATTGACTGGAAAAAAGCCAGTCTATCTCTTACACCAGGAAAATGTGTGAGTGTTAGTTGAATAAAACATTAGTGTTTAGGGATTTCAAAAGGGAGAAAAGTCAGTTTTTGGAATTGCCTGGGAGAGCCTTTTAGCTTTCAATGCTTACTTGCTTTGAGAAGCCCTCACCAGGCCTGTGTGCACATGATTATGTATTTTGTAATGTAATTTATTTATAAACTAAAAAGAAAAGAAAAGGGAAGTACAGGTGATAAGATGATAAAGCATCAATGTCGCTTATTTTAGGAGCTATGGAAAGAAAACACGGGCACGCACCTGCACGGTGACAGAGCACAGCAGGGGTGTTGCTGGGCAAAGATAAACCAGCCTAGGGAGCGTAGGGGGGCATGTTCCAGGTGTCTTCAGTATAGTGATTGGGAGTGAAAGCCTAGGATGTTGGACCTGGGAGGCCTGTGTGAACGGCTGCTCCCTTAGACTGCAGGGATGGTCAAGAAGGTGGGAGGAGAAGGCAGAGTTCAGCCATCATTAACCTGGGCTCCAGCCCATTCCTCCCTCCGCTGCTGTACGTAGTACTTGCTCCAGTTCTGGTTTTAGAAGCCCCAGCCATATCCGCTAGTGGGAAATGGAGATTACATGAATGCCCACTGAAGTGGAGGGAAGAAAAGTCCTTCTCTTCCTCCCCCAAGACATGCTGAGTTTGTGAGGTCTGCTCTTAATTGGTCTGTCCTCCGCCCCTCCCACCTGTGCAAAGCTCTGTCTTAGCTATATACAGTGGCTTTCAGAAGTTCATTGTGTGTCTGGGCCTCTAGGTTTCTTTAGATTATGAGAAACAGAACCAAATTATTTCTAAGCGCCCTGTCAACTTACCATTGCAGGATTCCATCCCCGTTCTTTACATTAATAAACTCTAACAAAACCAGGAGAAAATTGGAACCTTGTTTCTGCTGCTAAACAAAGCAATAGGAGGTCTCAGGGAGTGGCCCAGTGGTCGGTGATGGCCAAGTGCATGCAAGGCCCCGAGTTCCATCTTCAATACGGCTAAATAAATAAATAAATGAGATGGCTCTGAAGATAAACTGTCTCTATCGGAGAATTTGTGTTAGCTTACAAAGCAGAACTGAGAATCTTTTATTAAGCAAGTGAAGCTGTCCTCAGCAAAAGGCCCAGATCAGCTATCTTTTGTTGATTTGATTTTCTTTTATTTACAGCAAGATTCCAATAGCAGATACAGTGCATTGAATGTCCAGCATCAGATGCTGAAAGTAAGTAACTTAAAATGTCTTACATGAACGAAGAAAGGTGTAGACAATGTTTGAGCTAATTAACTATATATAATGTAAAAACGGAGAAGGTTTGTAGAAAGTTGGCCTAGCATATGTAGTCATAGTTGTCTAAAAATTTTCTATAGTTTCAGTGCCACAGCGTGATTTTTTTAGTTTTTATATAATAATTAGGCTTTCTGGTTATCTACTTTTTAAATGATCTCTTTGGTATCTTTAAAATTTTTTGCTTGGTCTCTCATGGTGGTTTTCCTTTTATCTTAGACAGCCTGGAATGTGTAGAGCTCAAAAGGTTCCTCTGTGTTGCTAATGTTCAATTAATGTACTTTCATGTACCCCAAGAACACAATTTATTAATTAAGCATCTTCCTTCCTTGGGCCTGGAGTAAAACTCACTATCACATGTCAGGAAGACCAAAACCACAGATAGGAGAGCAAGAGAGTTATTGATTCCATCGAGCTGGGAGAGAGGAGTAGCAGAGCCTGCAATACCATGCGCAAACCCACTGTGTGCGCATATCAGCCCCGTGTGTTAGCATGCAGCACCATGTGCAAACCCACTGTGTGTCCTCATCAGTCCCATGTGTTAGCATGCAGCACCATGTGCAAACCCTCTGTGTGTTAGCATGCAGTACCATGCGCAAACCCACTGTGTGCGCACATCAGCCCCGTGTGTTAGCATGCAGCACCATGTGCAAACCCACTATGTGGCCACATCAGCCCCATGTGTTAGCATGCAACACCATGTGCAAACCCACTGTGTGCCCTCATCATCCCCATGTTAGCATGCAGCACCATGTGCAAACCCACTGTGTGCTCCCACTTCAATGACCCTCACCCTATGTGTTAGCTTAGTGTTTCCTATGCTTCCACATCAGCAAAGCGCACACTTCCTATTGAAACCAGGATCGCTCCCATCCTCAGAAGTGCAGTACATGACATAAAGCAGGGCATCCGTCCACATAACCCTTTGGAGAATGTAGGATTTAAACAACTTGTGACGGCAGTGCAGAATTATAATATAAAATCAAATAAGTAAAAGTTAATTCTAGAAACAATACGTTACTTTCCTCGAAGGGAAGATAGTCCCCTTTCCCTCTCCATCTCCTCTATACCCACTGCTCTTTCAAACTAGATTACTAGAACGCTGAAAATCAAAGATATGCTGAATAGAGTGGTCCTCTGGGGTCAAAGCACTGCCTTTGTATATTTCTACGATATCTAGAAGAAAATTGCGTGCATAGTGAACATATTCAGACTTTCTCTTGCCATTATGTCTTTGGCATTGCCGTCAATAGTATTTATAGTGAATTGGGTAGCATGAGCAATCTAGAAATGATTGGAAACATGGTAGTGTTATGTGTACAAACACTATACCATAAAGAGTCGTGAGCCTTTTCAGATTTGGGTAATTTAACATGGAGCTGCCGCGAATCTTCCCATAAATACTGTGGAGTTTTGATCTTGCTTGCTAAGTAGAGAAAATAAACCAATTGGCTAAGGTTAAGTTTACCATTAGCTTTACCTTGTTTCTACGGTGATTTGAATCCAGGGAATACCCCAAGAATCCACCATTTCCCTCTCTTAAACTACCTTCTTACTCTTATTTATGTTTAAAACCAAGGGGAGATTTGTATTTTCCCGTGGTCTCAGTTGAAGGGTAAAGGAAATGAAAAGGACTTACGCAAAAACCTTACCTGAGCTCACTCCTTCGTTCACCCTCACCTTCTGATGAAAGAAAGGTCATGCAGCCGAGAAATAGACTCTTGCGTGATTCAGGGAACGTGTCTTTGCTCAAGCGTTCATCTTGCAGAGCCAGCATGAGGAGCTCAAGAAGCAGCACAGTGATTTGGAAGAGGAACACCGTAGGCAAGGGGAAGACTTCAGCAGAACATTCAATGACCACAAGCAGAGATACCTGCAGCTTCAGCAAGAAAAGGAACAAGAACTTTCTAAACTGAAAGGTATTTGATAAGGCCAGAGGTGTCTTTGTGCACCATGTCAACCAGCACACATGGGTGCTATACACAGGCGCTGTAAGGTCTGTATATTATGCATTGCAGTTAGCTTTAGAAGGCACACTAACTAGTAGCCTCCTTATACATAACCCTTTGGTTTTGTGCTTTTTTTTGTTTTGTTTTAATTTTATTTATATGGTGTTTTGCCTGCATCTATGGCTGACACCGTGAGCATGCATCATGCTTCTGGGCTTCCTAGAGGGGCATTAGATACCCCAGAAGTAGAGTGGAGTTACAGATGGTTGTGAGCTGCTCTATGGGTGCTGGCTGGGAATTGACCCAGGATCCTCTGGAAGTGCAGTAAAGTGCTCTCAAACTCTGAACCATCTCTCCATCCTCTTTCTCATCATTTTTAAAGCAAGATTTATATATAGTAAATTTTTAATAGGCCATATATAAGAAATAAGAGCTACAGAAAACATGAAGATACATATATGTGATTCTAACTACTAAGGTATTTCAGCCTCAGAACCTTACACTCAGGACAGAAGTGGAAAGGCAGAAGCCTCAGGGAGCTGGTCTTCAGTAAGAAAAGACATTATACACACACACACACACACACACACACACACACACACACACACCACTAGCAGAGATAGAAAGCAAAAAAAAAAAAAACTTCAAGAATCAACTTCTGGAAGAAGTTTCTTAAAGAGATATGAGAGAACTGAGTATAGAAAGGATCTGACATTTTGTTGGACACCTTCCACATTTGTGCTTATGTTTGATTGTAATAATTGGTGTTAATTGCCAATTTTAATCTAAAATCACCTAGGAAGATCTCAGTGAGGTAATTTCTAGATCAGGTTGGCCTCTGATGGTTTTTCTTACTTGGATTAGTTGGTTACTTACACGGTTAGTAGACATGACCCTGGGTAAAAGACTTAGGCAATAGTGTTAAAGCATTCAGTGACTGATGAAGGGCAGCGGTGGCTGGGGGCCACAAGTGCAGGCAATCTTGGGTAGTTTAAGGTGAGACAAGGAGAGTGTCTAAACCTCCCCTTCTCTCTCCTAAGGAAGGCTGACAGTTTGAAAACTTAGGTAATTGCTCCCGATTCTTGTAAATAACTGATAAGACATTTCTCTGATGTATTGGGACCAGGTAAAATTTTCTGGTGGAAAGTTTTACTTAATTCTCATCCCAGACCTGGAGGCAGGCAGCCAGGTGTCTTGTTTACTTAATGTATGAAGAACTGAAGGCTGTTGAGCAGAACTTACTTGGCAGGAGCCCAGTGAAAGCATGCAAGCTTACAAACTAAAATTGAGAACCAGCTAGTTTAGGTATTTCAAGTGTTAAAAGCCCCATGTAGCTTGCAGTACGCGAAAGGTCCTTGGTGATAGCCAGTGGTGTTCTGTTTTAATTTCTGGGAAAATCCACTATGACATGAAGACAGGATCCTACTTTGTTTTTAATTTTTTCCCCCAAATATAGGCATAAATTCTGTGCCCAGGAGTCTGGTGGGGGCAGTAAGAAAGTAAAACTATCCCAGATGGGACTGAAACTCTCCTTTGATGCTTAGCACACCCTGTAGAGATGGAGCCGTCTGCAGAGGTATCCCTTTATGAGGACAGTTTGCCTGGCGTGATCCAGATTTATTTAAGACTTGTCATCCTGACTCATGGATTAATTGTGTCCCCTTTCATTCTCACAGCCATTGCTCCTTCCAAAATAAGTTATATCATCACCCTGCCAGCATTCCCTTGTGATATTTATATATTGCCATGCAACCATTGGCCTAATATTGCCTGATATTGTCAGATCTTTATAAATGCTGTTGAGTCCTCAAATGTGGAAAAGACTATATAGGCAAAATTTTTCCAAAAAAAAACTACCAAGTTTGTACGTTTGAATAGTACTTAACTTGTAAAACACATGCAATGATAGAATTTCTAGATAGAATTTGCAAGGGGAAGGTGGTAACCACGTAGGGCTTGGAGGGAAGGTTTTAGAACCTCATTCTGACTCCATGCTCTCACATTTTAGCTCTGAGAAGACCTACTCAGAGTCAAATTTAGATTAACCAAGAACTCGATGGTAGGAGTAAGAGAAATTATAGGTTATCGTCAGTTAGGTGGGTTTCTGTTGTCTCTAATTGAAGTGCCTTGTGAGAATTATTCATGCTGTGAGAAACGAAGCTCTGCTCTATTCTTGACTACTTTTCCTTTGTGAAGATCCTCACGTCAGAGAGCGCCTGCCCATTAATTTTAGTCCCAAGCGATCATTTATCAACAGAAATTTTTCATTGTCAGCACCTGTGTGATTACAGTTGTTGCCCTCCTGTGTAGTGCATAGCCTGTTTCCAGAGGCCTCAGCCAATGACACAGGCCATTTTGCAGTGAGCCTTCAAACCCAGGCGGTGCGCCTATATGATACAATCTTTTGTTGATTTGGAATATTTTACTGTTAAAGGTCAAAACCTAGTTTTACGTAAGTTTTCAGGTTTCAGATAATGGCATAAAAAATAAGAGAATTGCCAGGATTTATGTATGGTTGTTCTTGTTATAAAACAGAAACTGTCTATAATCTGAGAGAAGAGAATAAACAACTAAGAAAAGCACACCAAGACATTCACACGCAGCTTCAGGATGTCAAGGTAAGGTGCAACCAGATATCTGGCTCTGGGGAATTTATCTCTTTTATTTTGCAGAATGGCTTCAAAAATCATTCCAGGAAGCTGTAAAGATGACTCGGAGATTATGAGTGCTTGCTGCTCTGGCAGAGGAATCAAGTTTGGCTCCCAGTACCATGGCTCACGACCACCAATGTCTCCAGCTCCAGGGGATCTGATACCCTCATCTGTCCTCTGTGGACACGGCACACACAGGCATACATAGTGACCAGCACCAACACCAGCACCAGCACCACCACACACACACACACACACACATCAATAACTAAAAATAAGCTTTTTATTTTTATTAATTCATTCCCTAATTGATCTGCTTTGCAGACCTGGATTACTGTCATGGTCATTGCTTACCTGGCGTATACCTGGTACTTTTGCCACTTCAACATCATGAACTGAAGGTGACCTAGGGCATCTGAAGATTTGTATCAATACTGAACTCATTCTTTAGTTGGACGATTGCGCTTTAAGGTAGTTTTAATTTACCAAAGCTGACCACTGATGAAAGGTTTATTTGGGTCGCCCTTTTGGTAGATTTTAGACTACCTCATCAATCGTTCCTCCCTCCAGGAATTGTTAAACTTAACCGCTGCTGCTACAACAACAAGCGAGTAACATTTGGGTGGCCACGCCAAAGAGTTTTGTTTTGCGACTTTAACTTAGCTCAACGTGTAAACTTCTTTTCTGTGTAGCAACAGCATAAGAATTTACTCTCCGAGCATGAACGGCTTGTAGTGACTCTGGAAGACCACAAGAGTGCACTGGCTGCTGCACAGGTTAGGAGAGAAGCAGCCTTTGTTGGGTCCTTTTCCGGTCTGCCTACTGTTTCTCAATTCCTTTATGCATGGAGTTTTTCACCAGGGTCTTCAGGGAGTTCCTTCTGACGACAGTCCTAATGACGGGGACAATGCATGCTTTCCAGAGTCACCGAGGGGACTACTAGATAAACTTTGCATTGCTTTTTGTTCATGACTTTTCTACTGCCTCTACTATGTCCTACATAAAAGGTTCTGATATTTAACTCACAGTGTAGCCCGTGTGTCTGGCCCGTATCACCTCTCTGGCCCTGTATTATCTGTTAGTAAAGGGTATATAAGGTTGTAGGAGGCTGACTACATAAATAAATCATTCCCAGACCGATTCTTCGCTCCTTCCCTTATTGCCAGTATCCTAGCGTATATGTATATACTCCTTCTGGGCTAAGACTTAGATAGGACTGTCCATACGACAGAGAAGCGAAGGGTCAGTGGAAAAAAGAAAAGCAAGAATCCCGATCTCTGTTTGTTAGGGCATAAGCCAGACTCTTGTCTGTTAAACGAATAAACAATCAAATCCGAGCTATAAAGAGCTTGTTAAGGTGATAGCTAAGTGAGTGCTTCGCAGCTTGAGAGCCAAGGAAGTAGGAGTGGCCTCATCACCTGCTTTTGCCATCATAAAATTATTAAAAGCTATAATTAATACATTCGGCTCAGACTATTCCAAAGACTCGCTTTTTGCATTTAGGGGACTAATGGTTTGTGGGTTTTTTTTTTTTTGTTAAAATATAAAAAGAATTCATTTTGCTTTATAGTATTTTTAACTGCTTTTGTAACTTAATGTATTTTGATCATTGAATGATCAGCCATATGCCTTATGAGTTGTTTGTTCGTTTTTGTCTTGATATTTATGTTATTTACGTTGTAACTAGTGCACCCCTTAATTTCCTTAGTTATAGTCATATGTCTCATAATTTGAGCTGAGGTAACAAAATACTATTGACTGGTGGCTTAGACACAACAGATTTGTCATAGTTCCAGAAGTTGGGAGTCCAAGATTACAATGCCTCCATTCAGACTCTCAGGAGGACCCTCCTTTGGGTTGTTGGCTTCTGGCTTCTTGTATTGTCGCGTGGTGCAAGAGACGGAAAATACTTCCAGGATTCCTCTGATGAAGGCATTAAGTTCATTTCTGAGGATTCTGCCCTCAGAACCTAGCACCTGCTCATACACCAACCTTCCGTTGCCATCACAAAAGAGTTAAACTTCAAGTATGCACGTAGTCGGCAAATAACATCATATCACAACAGTACCCAAATCTCCAGGGAGGGGAAATTTGTTATTTCTGGCGTCTACATCTCTTATGCAAAACCCTCTTTCAACATTCTTTCTTGACAGGTTGACTTCTAAATATAGTTAAAAAATTTTATTTAATCTTCATAACATAGGGCTTATGGATGGCTCAGTGGGTAAAAGCTTGCCACACCAGGTGCGGAAGGAAAGTCCTGACACCCACAGATGTGCTGTGACATGCAGTCACACATACACACACGCACACACAGTGAGAAAGTTGGCGACCGAGGCTGAGGCAGAGAGATACACATGTATCTCACACATACATAATAATAAAATTAATTTTAAAGACTCTTCATAATTGAGTATACGCCCTGTGTCCCTTTATAACCAAATAATCTAGTAAACTGGGATGGAAAGGAACTTATGCAGTTAGTTAGCCTGATAAAAAATGCCCGCCCCTCCAAAATTGTGATTCAAAGTCACAGCCTTGGTTGTGTTTATGAGACTTAGCAGCACAGGTGTGTGGCCTCTCCCCAGACCTTGTGAACTATAATTGCTTGCGCCTGGGGTGATGACTCAGCAGTTCGAGCAGAACTACCGCTCTTGCAGAGGCTCGCATCCAGAGGCTTCTACTCTAGCTCCGGGGATCCCATACCCTCTTCCGACCATGAGACGCTTGCATTCACTGTCTGTATATCTGGACAAAGACACACCTATGTAAATAATTTAAAAATAAAATGTTCCTTAAAAGCATATTTTCTGGAGAGGAGACTACGGTCTCTACATGTTTTAATGCGATCCTTAATATGCGCCAACATCAAAACCACAACCAGACTACTTCACGGCTTGCACGCCTTAGAGCAGTGGTTCTCAGCCTTCCTACTGCTGTAATGCATTCCCCATGCTCTTAATCCAGTCCTCATGTTGTGGCGACCTGAAACCACAGAATTGTTTTCATTGCTACTTCATAAGTTTACTTTCGCTGCTGTTATGAATCAGAATGTAAATATCTGATAGGAAGATGATCTTAGGTGACCCCTGTGAAAGGGTTGTGCAACCCCCAAAGGGGTCATGACCCACAGGTTGAGAACCACTGTCTTAGCTTACAAGGCAAAGAATGTATGGGATTGAATTTGATATATCCCTCCACAGAAAAGCATTACTATGGAAATGTCCTTTGTTTTTCCTTGTTTGGTCTCCAAAGATGATTCCTAAATGTTCTTGATTGATTTCTGAGGTAAAGTCCACGGCCAGCTACATGCTACATTTTTACATAAATTATAAGAGAACACTCCTCTGGTACGTATTTAGCCAGCTAACATCTTCATTTTTTGAAAACTAGAAGAGACAGAACAGAGCTGGGGAGCTGGCATAATCAGTATGGTGCCTGCCATGCAATCCTGAGGACCTGAGTTGGGTGAAAAGTTCAGATAAAAAAGCATAACCAGAATTCCAGCTATGAGTTGGCTGGAGACGGGTGGATCCTTGAGCTCTTTGGAGCCGTCCTAACTGAAACAATAAGCTTCAGATTTATTTATGAGAAGCCTTTTCTTAAAAAGTAAATAAATAAAAATGACTAGCAATAGAGAAAAGTCACCTGATGTTGACCTTGGGCCACCATACTCATGTGCACACATTTGTATGCATATTTGCACATACCCTGTATGCATCTCCTATATGTACACAACAACAACCACATACATATTAAAAAAAAGAGCTTCTCCCTAGGCATGAAAAAAACCTGAGTTTAAGTATTTTATTTACACAGTAATTCTGGTTTTAGGATGAGGGTGGTAGTGGGCGTGAAATGGGTGTATGACATATGTACTGATATTTTTTTAAAAGTTACTGGCTTATTTTCCACCTTTCCAGCCCCTTGTTAAAAAAAAAAAGTCACACACATCTGTACCTCCCATATCAGAATACACAGACACATCTGTGTGGGAGCATTCCTGTTCTACACTAGTCCCTACTCACACATGGCCTTTGGCGCTTTAAGCCAAAAATACATTCAAAATTGATGAAGAAAAAACAGCTTTGTTTCCCCACAATGTCACCGTTCTCTGCTACTGCAGAGCACAGTCTAGAAAACAGTGTTGAAAATAAAGGACCTGATTTGAGCATAAATCAACTAAGGGAAAGACGACAAATATGGATGGATGGATGGATGGATGGATAGATAGATAGATAGATAGATAGATAGATAGATAGATAGGGGAAGAGGGCAAATATGGATGGATGCATAGATAGATAGATGATAGATAGATAGACACATAGATACATAGATAGATACATAGATAAGATAGATGACATATATTCCATTGAATGTTATAGCTCAGGCATACTTTTAATGGTCAATTTCAATGACCATTGTAAGTCTTTAGGTAGAATTTAATATAATAAAACATTGATTGCATAGCTGTCCTTTATTAATGATGTTTATGATAGAATGACAAAGTTCTTCTTTTGACTCACGTAAGCCTGGAAAACTAACATGTCTTGGATAGTTTTTCAGTCTCTCGATTCTGATTCTAATTTGCATGTGCTCAGAAATGGTCCAGCATGGCCCAAGAGGAAGACCTGTAGTGCATGAGGGCAATCTGCACCTTTGCTAACAACCTTAGGTTTAATGTCTTTCTAGTCATCCCGTGGACCGACAGGGCCATCTGGTGAATTAATTAATGTATGGCTGTTGTCTCCTCTCGTCACATCGCATGATTTTCTCCCGACTGTGCTGTTCCTGTGCAGACTCAAGTCGCAGAATACAAACAGCTGAAAGACACTCTCAACAGGATCCCGAGCTTGCGAAATCCTGAGCCAGCAGAGCAGAGGAACATTTCCTTTTCCCAGGGGACTCCACAAGGTTACAGCGTGAGAGAGAAGCCAACAGGAGAGCTAAGAGAGGTGAGAGGTGTGGCCTGGGTCCATGGTCAGTGACGGTCCCGGTGGAGCTGTCCAGAGGAGAAATGCTCTCTGTACAGCCCCTCTTCCTACCCAGCAGATTCCTAGAAGTTCTTATACATCAGCATCCCTGGTGGGGTATGTTTCAACTCAGTCTTCTCAGCCACACCTCCACTTTCCAACTCAGTTAATTTGAGGTTTGGCCTGGGGATTTGTCTTTCTAACCAATTCAGCTAGTCTGGGGAAAAAAAAAAAAAAAAAAAAAAAACACTGATAGTTAAAACTGTAGCATTTACTGGAAAAGACTTTTCTGGCTTGGCTTTCTGTAAATTGAAATGTATTAAAGGGGCTCTGGGATCTGAATATTTGAGAGCAAGATGATTTCCTGTTCCTTCGAGTAGGGGACAAGGTTTTGAATGGCATGAGAATACTATGTGGCAGCCACTTGGTTGTTAACGTTGATGTAATGGAACTTGTTACATTGCTGGGTCTATATAGAGCGTGCCAAAATCATTTTAACCTGATCATGATTCACTTTTTTCTTGTTCTTTGTGAAAATCAAGACTTGTTTGAGTGTGCCTCAAAAGTGGAGCGTCACCAGTGGGATCCTGGTGATCACTAATTCTTACAAGCTGCTTGTGTGAGCTGGCAAAATGGCTCAACACGGAAAGACCCTAGCTCTCAGGATTAATGACCTGAGTTTAATTCACAGGACCCAAATGGAGGAAGGAGAAGAATAGCTCTTCTTCTCTGGCCTCCACATGCATATTGTTACGAGATTGCAGTACAAGTTTTGAGAAGTCTTGTCTCCAATGGCCATCTTATGTCGATAATGACGTCAACACCAATGAAGCTGTCAGAGTTGTCATGTGAATGTTCTTAGCATCACCAGAACATTCCTTCACAAACAGGCTTGACGTCCTTGCACCCAGTTCTTTCTTGGGGCTTTTTATTCAGAAGTTTAAGACAGCATGATAGAATCCCATGGCTGCCCTTTGACCTTTTACTCTGCTAGACTGACTTCCAGTTCACTGCGTTTACCATCCATGATTCAGAGTTTGGTTTGTTCCTGCTGTGAGTTGGAGATAGTAATTATCGGCCCCACCATTCCTCATGGGGGCAGAGTGGGGATAAAAAGCAGGTGTTTGAAAGTGTTAGAGCCCTTGAGAGAAATATTTTCTACAGGGCAGTTTTAGAGCAAACTTGCTAGAAGACTTTGCCAAAATATATAACTGTCGAAGTTCCCAGATATTGAAGGAAGAGCTCTTCTCCCCACTTGATGATTTATAGGCTTGACTTTTTCCAAGAGTGATAATTATATCCCTGCTAGCTTCTAAGTAGAACTGCCCATTTCAAACTTCTCATGGTGTGGTCCCCTGGGCATTTAATTATAAGAAGTTAATCTGCCCAAGAAAGTAACTTTTTCTGATAAAGAAAAGGGGAAAGGAACTACAGATTTTCCTACCAGTGTCTTTATCTTTCTAACTAATATAGATCAAAGCAAGGTTTGAAACTTACAGAAAACATGGATGTGACTCAACACATTGCAGAGAAGACATTTTCTCAAATTCTTTTTTTTTTTTCTTGCTTTGGTTGTCTGTATTGACAGTGTAAAATAAACACATAGATTGCCTTTGGTTTGCAGAAGATGTAATAAGATGCATTAATATTTTATTGGGATTGGGAAAAATTAACTCAGCAAAAATTCTTACCACATGTCTGAGCTCAATTCCTAGAGCCCATTTAAAAAGCCAAGCATTGGAGCCTATGCTTGGGATACTAGTGTGGGGGAAGCAGAGGCAGGAGGGTCCGTGGGGCTCCTGGACCAGCCAATCTAGTCTAATTGTGAGCAGGAAGATCCTGAGGAGACACCCAGTCTCAACATAGAAGATGGAGAGCTCCTAAGATGAACCTGAGGTTGATCTCAAGCTTCCCTAGACTCTCCCAGCATAAATAGCTCTGTGTTTGCATACTTACAAACACTGGCACAAACTGAAATGTTCTAACAAAGACTATTGTGTGTCTTGTTTAGCTGAAACTATTTTAAACCAGCATGGTTATCTATTAGTAATGCAAGCCCTCTGATAACTCCTTAGTGGCGCTAAGAAGCCAACCTGCTCATTCATCACCTGACTCTATATCTTATTGTAGTAATTTCAAACATCTGTTAAGTAGGAAGTTGACCTTGAAGAAACTTTCATAAGCCAGAAGCGTGAGGTTTGAGGGATTCTGGTTTGTATTGTTTTCCTTCTCGTTAGCTTCCTGTCTGTTCTAAGGGAAGCTGGAGTCAGATCGCTTTTGAGGGAATTGTTTTCTGGATATACAGTTGCTGGTGGACTTCACTTTCCTCACCATGGAGCTTTCTCTGAGACAGTAGTATCCCTAAATTATTACTGTCTGTGGGTAAAACAACACAGTGAGAAATAGATAGAGTCATCACACCTGGTTTCTTTTTTACACCGTGGTTGTGTTTATTTCTAAACTGTAGGATTTTGCTTATGCCGTAGCTCTTTAAATGTGGTAATAAAAGATGTGGAAATAGAAAAGTGTCATTTGTCTGTGTGTGTGCTGTGCTTATCTTAGGTGCCTCTAAATAACGAGGTGTGGCAGAACCGTGAGGCAGTGCCGAGAAAGATGGAAGAGAAACCTTTCTCGTCCGTGCAGAAGGAAACCGGCTTTCAGGCTCCAGCAGAGCAGAACCACGTGGAACCCAGAGAGCCCGAGGAGCATCAGGTGGAAGAGGAGCACAGGAAGGCACTGGAAGAGGAGGAGATGGAGCAGGTCGGGCAGGCAGAGCGTCTAGAGGAGGAACATGACCCCTCGCCGGAGGAGCAGGATCGGGAGTGGCGAGATCAGCGGGGACAGGATGCCGCCCACCTTCTGGATGGCCGCCCTCAAGCTGAGGTGCATGCGTACTCCCTAGAAGTTCTCCCTGACGGGGAATTTGGTTCTAGATACTAATGAAAACATAAGGGGACTGCGGAGATGCTCGGTGAGGTGCAAGCATGAGGACCTCTCAGTTCGATCCCCAGAGTTCGTGGAAAAAGCTGGATGTAGTGGTGTGGAGGCAGGCAGCCAGGGACTGTTCTTCCCTTTTCCCAGACTCAGACCCAACGATAATGCGCATGGGTGCTGATCATTTCCTTGGAACTCGGAGACTTTATTTGTCCTCCTGTTCTCTGAGCCTTGAAACTGTGCTTCAGCCTTAGTAGGTGTGAAGACCTCCCCTGCCGCCCCTCATATCCTCACCAACTTTGTATCCCACTGCCATCCTCCCCTTAGCCTCGTGGTCCTCAACTCTGCCCTCCTCCTTTGGCTGATAATCGAGCATGCGTATTTCAGTTGTGGAGGGAAGGGGAGGAAGACGTGTAATCATGGGGGAGCGGAATTTTACGAACCGCTGTTTGATTTTCCTCTAATCACTATGTATTGTCTCTGCGTCCATAAATAGTTTATTTAAAGAAAATCTCTGGGGCTGGTGTGACAGCTCGATCAGTAAACAGCCCACCTTGCAACATGAGGTCCTGAGTTCAATGTCTAAGAACCCAAATACAAAACAAGATGTAATTCAGTCACAATTCTTGGGCGACAGAGACAGGCAGATCCCTGGGGCTTACAGGCCCTGCCTTAACTTAGAAAGCCCCAGGCCAATAGGAGACCCTGTTTTAAACAAACCAAAATAATCATCCACAAGGTGACATCCAAGGAATGACAACTGAGGTCTCCCCTGGTCTCTACCTATACTCTCCTCTCTCTCTCTCTCTCTCTCTCTCTCTCTCTCTCTCTCTCTCTCTCTCTCTCTCTCTTCCCCCTCTGCCTTCATAGTATAAAGTATATAGTATATAAGCTGATATTTGACAATATGTTTAGCCTGAGACTTGCATGTCAATCGTTGGAGTTAATTAGCATCCTTGGGTCTTTAACTATTCCTAGACAAAGCCTTAACCTCACAAATTGTGCAATTAGTATGGGGTTCCCAAGTGCCAACTTGATTCAGAACCCATGAGCATAAATTTAATTAAGGGTGGAACTTGTTTCTTATGTCGGGCTCTGTTCCATTTGTGCTGGAACACACTGAAAGACGGCCTTCTAGCTGGCAGGCCTGCTATGAGACGGCCAAGGCCATTCAGAGAAAGAAGAAAATCACGAGACTTCAGACTCTATGTGTAATTGGTGTTCACCTGCATTAAGAAGCCTGCCCCGCCTTCTGGGTCTGTCCTGACAAGGAGTGAAGAGAGTGGCCCAGAGGATCTAACCTCTCTGGTTCAGCATCAGCTCTTTCTGTTCCAGGCGGACCATCCCACCAAGGCAGGGACGAGTTTCCGATCCCCCTATGAGGAGCAGCTGGAACAGCAGAGACTGGCAGCGAGGAGGGATGAGGAAGCCCAGAGACTGAGAGAACACCAGGAAGCTTTGCACCAACAGAGACTGCGGGACCACTTGCTACGCCAACAGCAGCAGGAGCAGCTCCTGGCCAGGGAGGGCGCTCCTCAAAAGCAGGCAGAGCATGAGGAAGACCAGCAGCGGCAGCCGCAGCACCCAGAGCAGCTAAGGTATCCTGCCCCTTCCCTTGGGGGTGTAGACGATCCTTCCTCTGGTGTCAGATCAGCTTTGTGGATGTGTTGCCCTGGAACCCATGGCAAGAGAGCAGTCTCATATGGCTCGAGTGGACACGGTAGAAAAACATATTGGACAAACAAGTGCTAGATCCTTAATTTTAGCATAGCTTTTTCTTCCCAAAGGTGGTAGCTATAGACTGAGAAGGTGGTTTGGTGATAAAGGGCTTGCCCCACAAACATTTGGACCTAAATTCACATCCCGAGAATCTGTGTAAATCTAAGTGCAATGGCACACAGCCTGTAATTCCAGGGCTAGTACAACAGGATGGGAAACAGAGACAAGAGAATCTCTGGAAACTTGCAGCCAGATAGCCTGGAGGATGTTGGGACAAACAACAAAAAGGGGGCCTTGTGTCAAACAAGGTTGATGTCAACGATAATGGGCAAGGTTTTCTTCAGACCGCCTGGCATGTGCTGTAGCATGTTGGTGCATGTCTCGCAAAACTTACATGCACACACATCACACACACAAAATAATAAACAAACAAGTGGAATAGATCTCAAAATAGACTAGCAGATTAGTTCTAACTTTATTGTGTCGTGGAATGACATTTTTACCTCCTAAAGTATGCTTTGAAAACATATCTGGTATCACTATTATATTTTATTGTGTATCTAAATCTCAGAAACAAGTTATGGCTTATGTTTAAAGTTGAAAACTCCTTACTTATCCCTGTCTTGAAAGATAAATGACCTTTCCCAAGCCGTGCCTGTTAATTTTCATTTCTGAATTTATGTCCCTGGCAGGCAGCAAGTTCATTACAATGCCGTGGAGAATGACATCGTGCAGGGGGCTGAGGACCAGGGAATCCACGAAGAAGAAGGAGGAGGTGAGACTCATTCAAGGGTGACCTCTCAGTCAGATAACTCGGTCCTGTCCCAGCGTATCGACAAACACATGGTGCAGCATCCACAGGCAGAGTGCACACCCGAGTGATGCCCGGGGCAGCTGTGACTCACGCTTATGCTGTTGTCACTTGTGCTCCAAGGGCTGGCACAAAGATTTACCGCTCTGAAAACTTGTGGAGACTGGCTTCCCCCCCCCCCCCCCCCCCCCCCCCCCCCCGAGCCTGCTCCCTTCTGTTGAATCTCATTGTGTGCTTAGTAGCTGTTTCTGACAAACAATCGTAGGATTGCTATCCTTTAGGACATTTCTGTACTTTCTACTTAGCTGGGAAATTTTGCACCCTTGCTTAAATTTATGACAAACATCGAGCATGATATTTGTCACACGCTGCTTCCCGTGGAGACAGAGCCGAAGTTAACTCTGCTTGGCCCCTCTGACTCCTACAGATGTTTGATTTTCCAGAAAGTGTCAGAAGAAAAGCAAAGGCATGCATTCAATCAGCAGCCTATTGTGGTGCTTTGTGACCCTCGGAGTCAAGAAATTGTTGCCTTTATGTCCCCCATGGGTCACTTTAGCTTCTTTCATTTGTTATTCATAAGGCTAAGAGCTGCTGGCTCCCTTCTCTTTTAATAAGGCCCCCTGTGCATTTGCAGCCTCCCAGCAGGCTCCCCTGCTTCTTTATTATGTGCAGACTCAATAACTCTTTATATACTTAACCCTCCCTCTTCTGTCTAACTTTTAAATGATTTACAGTTTTTTTGTGTGCACTTATAAGTCTGTGAATCTGAGTACATTTCCCCCCTCCCCCATGGATATCAACTAAACTCTTACGTTAATATAAACACAAGATGTGTTTCCTGGCAGCGACCTGTGTGCTTCTCAGTTCGCAGTTGTTGTTGTTGTTCATTTTTAAATGTCCTAATCTTGGAAAACTCTTTCTGACATCAACCAAAAATTTAATCATGTAGACTTTCTTTTAATATGAAAGTTTTGGCCGTCGCTTTCATATCTGGTGGGGAGACAGCAGCCTCTGCTACAAAAATCCCTTAAGAAGGATAGAATGGTACATCCATCCATCCATTTGACATGCAGCCTGGAGAAAGGTTAGAATTGCTTAGAAAACAAAAAAAGAAAGCCAAAACTCCAGACAAGCCACCACCCAAAATGGAGGTGAAATAGAATGGAGTGATCGCCAGGGAAGCTGCTGTAGGCTACTTTTAGAGGGGAAAATCCTGCGTGATCCATTTAGGGCTGACTATGGTTCCTTTGCTTTGCTAGCCTATGAAAGAGATAACCAACGCCAAGATGAAGCGGAAGGAGATCCAGGCAACAGGCAGGAACCTCATGAACCAGGGCCCCAGGAAGCTGACCCAGAAGCTGAGGCAGATGTAAGTTTCCTCTGCTAGTCCCCAGGGTTAGTAACTCACCAGGCAGGCTGGAGGAAAATGTGGCTTCTGGCTCCAGATGTGCTTTCTCACCCGACAGAAGAGGACATCTTACATAACTGTGTCGGAACAAAACACAAGTGTTTAACTGCAAATCATGAGGTAGGATGTTGTGGGGATCCCTCCCGGAATCACAGCCAGCAGAGGCATGAGCAGCCAAGGGATTAGAATAAAACTCGGGAACAGCTGGATTTGCTCAGTTTCTGCATCCAAACATTCTGAGAGTGTGATCCTGTGTTGATTTTCTCACACTTTTAAACACAGTAGAACTTTGGGGCCAACATCTCCATGTGACAATTCTTAAAAAAAAGCTTCAGGGATGGCTGAAATTCTCTTTCAAAATACACCACTATAGCAAATTTCCCAAGACCTTTATCATAAGAATGAGTTCTGTTAACTGGCAGACAGTTCTCCCAAGGCTTGGACCTAGAGAGGAAGAAGCAGAAGGATGAATTCTATTGATTCAGGATGCTAAGTACATGGGGCTTCCTAAGGGCACATTCTATTCACCTAGAGACTAAACCCAGGGTTAGGGCCTAAACAAGTCTTGGATTTGGGAGAAATTCAGATGAAGGCTGGCTCCTAAAAGAATAGCAAAGGACCGATCGCCAGGTGGTTTGACTACTTCTGCTCCAGCCTTCCAAGTGACCAGGTATCTTTCAGGCTGGGTGCTTAGCAATTCTGGTTTCTTCAAGCTCTGCTTCCTCCTGTGGAAGTGTGAGGACTTGGGCTGGAGGTTGCTCTAGGGATTTAAAAGAAAGTGACTTTGTCATCTTATAGGGTGATTAAACTGAAACCTAGAAGGGCAAACTTGAAAGGCATTGAAAAACACAGTGCTCTCACAAGACTGCACGGAGGGGCAAGGCAGCATAGACATTAGAGAAAGGACTTCGTGTTTGTTCAGCGTGTTGTGTGGTCTGTTTGCATTTTTCATGTGACTTGGTTCCTACCCACCTATCTAGTTACCTTCTTAGTAACAATGAGTAAGGATATACAGCTTCAAATTTGAAAAGAAGTGACTAGGTGCCAAGATAGGGTACTCAGTTCAGAATGTAATTATGTAGATGCCTGGTTAGCCTTTGTATTGACTGAGAACAAGACCCTCACCCTTCACCTTGGGCAGTCTAGGTCCTTAACTCTAATCAGGAGCAATGGAAGCAATTGTGGAATGAATCCAACCTTGTGTTTTGTGTAGCTGATGCTTGGAGTCTACGTTACCTATCTTATTACATATAGACTGTTAATAAATCAATACTCACATTGGGGTGACATTCAATCCCTGTTTTATGAGTTCTGTCAAAATTGATCCACGGAACTGGAAGGAAGAGCCAGGTCCTTCACGATTATCATTGTCAAGGTCATTCTGGTCATTGCTTGGAGCCCTCTGATGCAGATGGCATTTCTATTTACCTGGCACTAAGATGGGACAGAATACCTTCTCTTCCCCGTTCTGCGATAGCATTTAGGAAAATATGCAGCTGAAAACCTAGCTCTGAACTTCTTCTAGTAATTGAAGCAGGAACACATGAGGGAATGAGAAAATATCCCTTGATAGCAAGAAAGCCAGAGGACAAAAGCCTGCAAGTGTGTAAGAGGAGATGAAGACCACCAGTGGGGAAGGGTTCAGTATGACAGACACTTATGTTTAGGATCTGCTGTGGGACTCCTGGCTGGTGGCGTCTGATCCTTGACTCTCCTGACATCTTTTTGTTTATTGCAGCCAGTGCACTGGAAAAGATAGGCCTTTTATTGTCTTCTTCTAACTAGACATTGCCAGTCACCTCATTATTGCATTTGATGTGACACTACCCCCCTCCTTCCACCTCTGTAACCCTCTCAACTATTGTTTGGCTGGAGTTGGGAATAGAATTGGTGTTTCTATTATGAACTTTTTTTTTAAATAAAGAAGTTACTTAGTGTTGTTTTTCTGTGGGGAGTAGGTTACAGTTCCTTCTTTATCCCCCACACAAATGGCCAATAATTCATTCAAGAAAGCCTATAAGGCAAGAGATTACCAAGTAATTGGAATTGGGTGTGACGGATGACTTCTCATTTATATTGAGAGCTGTGTCATTTGCACTTGAAGCTTCCAGCCAGGGCTGTGCAGAAATAAACCACTGGACCCTGCAAGGAGCTCTTGACCATGCTTAAGTAGCTCGGGGAATTGTAGAAAGAGCCCCCTGGTCTGCACAGCACTGAGAGGCTGAGCCCCATCGGTGGCTTCAGCATCTCATGGAGAGCAGTTCCCACTTCAGTCAGTGTCCCCTGGCTTACCAAAGGATTGGGGATGCCCATCTCAGGATGATTGTGAAGATGGGTGTTATTTAACAGGTGTGCTAGGGGCTTAAATGGATAACCGCAGTAATTGCCATGTCAGTTCATTTGAAAGGCATTTGTGGGACACAATTACTCAGAGCTGCCTTGGAAATACCTTTGATGGTGCGTTGTCTGATTTCTCCTATCCCTTTCGAAAGCAGTATCACTCTGCTTCGTGATAGCCCTAGTTGATAAAGAAATTTGGCATGCCTCAAATAGATCATTTATTGTGGCGTTCTTTGTCTGCCCTGTCTCTTTGTTAGGTTTTCCTCTTGGTTCTGTCAGTATGGACTTTCCCATCAGCCACTTTTTAGCTTTTTTACATGTTAAAATTTTCTTGCAGGGGGGTTGTGGAGAAACCTCCGTTAGTAAAGTGCTGGCTGCTTCATCTCCAGCACCCACATAAAAAGACAAGTGTGTCGGTGCATCTTATAATGCCAGTTTGGGGGAGCAGGAACCTGAATACCCAGGCTCCATAACCAGCCAGTCTAGCTTAATGGATGGGCCCCATGTCTCACTGTAAAATAATCTATCTAAAAGTAGAATGTGAACTGCTCCTGAGGAGTGACCCTGTAATTAACCTCTGGTCTCCACGTTCATGTGCACTTCTGGGCAGATACATATAGGTGCACATGCATACACTTGTACACAGGGAACCACCACATATACCTCACACCCACAAATTTCTTGCACAGGGAAGTTTGGATGAAACTCAACTCAATATAGCAGTAAAAGGAGTTATTATTTGCTCTCCTCACTCTCTCCTGCCTCGATTATTACTGATCTCTTTTTCCTCCATTTAGCCCTCTGACTTGCATGGGCACTGGTGGCTATGCAGTGAAGCTTTTGTTACTTACTGCTAGAGCGTTGAGGAGTCACTCATACAAATGAAGTACTATTTGCACCTCCTCTATGGATCTGATTCTTCCTACTGACAAAGCAAGAGGAGTTCTGTCTTGGACATTGAGATATTTATTACTTTGCAAGTCTTGGGGGAAAGTTTGACTTGAACAGTCCTGTGAAGTTGTTGCAAGGCATGTTTTGGGATGAATTTTACCGCGGCCCAGTCACGACAGGTTCAGACTTCCCAGGGAAGAGGCATGTAGATTAGAAATGTTAGGTAGAGAGTCCGGTTTTATCCCATGGTTTTTCAGTCGTAGTCCAGCTGGCCTTGGTGAGCTCACAATAGATCGGCCCCACTGTCTCCGTGGGTGGGTGCACCCCTTGTGGTCCTGACTTCTTTGCTCATATTTTCCCTCCTTCTGCTCCTCCTTGGGACATTGG